GACAAAGAGGGACAGTACATAATGATAAAAGGGACTCTCCACCAAGAAGACAGAACACTTATAAATATATACGCACCCAACACAGGAGCACCAAAATTTGTAAAGCAACTCTTAATAGAACTAAAAGAAGACATCAACAACAATACAATAATAGTAGGGGACCTCAACACACCATTAACACCAATGGACAGAACATCCAGACAGAATATCAACAAGGAAATAATAGAATTAAATGAAAAATTAGACCAGATGGACTTAATAGATATATATAGAACACTTCATCCAAAAACAGCAGGTTACACATTCTTCTCAAGTGCACATGGAACATTCTCAAGGATTGACCATATTTTGGGAACCAAAGCCAACATCAATAAATACAAGAGAGTTGAAATAATATCAAGCATCTTTTCTGATCATAATGCTATCAAACTAGAAATCAACTACAAGAAAAAAGCAGAGAAAGGTGCAAAAATGTGGAGACTAAACAACATGCTTCTGAACAAACAATGGATCATTGAAGAAATTAAAGAAGAAATCAAATATTATCTGGAGACAAATGAAAATGAGAACACGACATACCAAACCATTTGGGATGCAGCAAAAGCAGTCCTAAGAGGGAAATTCATTGCAATACAGGCTCACCTCACTAAACAAGAAAAAGCTCACATAAGCAACCTCAAACGACACCTAACAGAACTAGAAAAAGAAGAACAAACAAAGCCCAGAGTCAGTAGAAGGAGGGAAATAATAAAAATAAGAGCAGAAATAAACGATATTGAAACAAAAAAGACAATAGAAAGGATCAATGAAACAAAGAGTTGGTTCTTCGAAAGAATTAACAAAATTGACAAACCCTTAGCCAGACTCACCAAGAAAAGAAGAGAGAAATCGCAAATAAATAAAATTAGGAATGAGAGAGGAGAAATCACAACAGATACCAATGAAATACAAGAGATCATAAGAGAATACTATGAAAAACTATATGCCAACAAATTGAACAACCTGGAAGAAATGGACAAATTCCTAGACTCCTACAATCTCCCCAAACTGAATCAGGAAGAAATGGAGAATCTGATTAGGCCAATCACAAGTAAGGAAATAGAAACGGTAATCAAAAACCTCCACAAAAATAAGAGTCCAGGACCAGACGGCTTCTCTGGAGAATTCTACCAAACATTCAAAGAAGACTTAATACCTATTCTTCTCAAACTGTTCCAGAAAATTGAGGAAGATGGAGCACTCCCTAATACATTCTATGAAGCCAACATCACTCTGATCCCCAAACCTGACAAGGACAACACAAAGAAGGAGAACTACAGGCCGATATCACTGATCAACATAGATGCAAAAATCCTCAACAAAATTTTGGCAAACCGAATACAGCAATACATCAGAAAGATTACACACCATGATCAAGTGGGATTTATACCAGGGACACAGGGATGGTTCAACATCCGCAAGTCAATCAATGTGATACACTACATCAACAAAATGAAAAACAAAAACCACATGATCATCTCAATAGATGCAGAGAAAGCATTCGACAAGATCCAACACCCATTTATGATAAAAACCCTCAATAAAATGGGTATAGAAGGAAAGTACCTCAACATAATAAAGGCCATATATGACAGACCCACAGCCAACATCATACTCAGTGGACAAAAACTGAAAGCCATCCCTCTGAAGACAGGAACAAGACAAGGGTGCCCACTTTCACCACTCCTATTCAACATAGTACTGGAGGTGCTGGCCAGAGCAATTCGGCAGGAAAAAGAAATAAAAGGAATCCAAATAGGTAACGAAGAAGTAAAACTCTCGCTGTTTGCAGACGACATGATCTTATATATAGAAAACCCCAAAAAATCCATAGAAAAACTATTAGAAATAATCAACAACTACAGCAAAGTAGCAGGGTGTAAAATTAACGTGCATAAATCAGTAGCATTTCTATACACTAACAATGAACTAACAGAAAAAGAACTCAAGAACTCAATCCCATTCACAATCGCAACGAAAAGAATAAAATACCTTGGGATAAACTTAACCAAGGAAGTGAAGGATCTATACAATGAAAACTACAAGACTTTCTTGAAAGAAATTGACGATGACATAAAGAGATGGAAAGACATTCCATGCACATGGATTGGAAGAATAAACATAGTTAAAATGTCCATACTACCTAAAGCAATCTACAGATTCAATGCTATCCCAATCAGAATCCCAAGAACATTCTTCACAGAAATTGAACAAACAATCCTAAAATTCATATGGGGCAACAAAAGACTGTGAATTGCTAAAGCAATCCTGAGCAAGAAAAACAAAGCCGGCGGAATCACAATCCCCGATTTCAAAACATACTACAAAGCTACAGTGATCAAAACAGCATGGTACTGGTACAAAAACAGGTCCACAGATCAATGGAACAGAATTGAAAGCCCAGAGATAAAACCACACATCTATGGACAGCTAATCTTCGACAAAGGAGCAGAGGGCCTACAATGGAGAAAAGAAGGTCTCTTCAACAAATGGTGCTGGGAAAACTGGACAGCCACATGCAAAAGATTGAAAATTGACCAGTCTTTTTCACCACACACCAAAATAAACTCAAAATGGATCAAAGACCTAATGATTAGGCCTGAGACAATAAGTCTTTTGGAAGAGAATATAGGCAGTACACTCTTTGACATCAGTTTCAAAAGAATCTTTTCGGACACCATAACTCCTCAGTTGAGGGAAACAATAGAAAGAATAAACAAATGGGACTTCATCAGACTAAAGAGCTTCTTCAAGGCAAGGGAAAATAGGATTGAAACAAAAAAACAGCTCACTAATTGGGAAAAATTATTTACAAGCCACTTATCCGACAAAGGGTTAATCTCCATAATATACAAAGAACTCACACTGCTTAACAACAAAAAAACAAACAACCCGATCAAAAACTGGGCAGAGGACATGAACAGACATTTCTCAAAAGAAGATATGAATATGGCCAATAGACACATGAAAAGATGTTCATCATCGCTAATCATCAGGGAAATGCAAATCAAAACTACACTAAGATATCACCTTACACCCGTTAGATTGGCAAAAACATCCAAAACCAAGAGCGACAAATGTTGGAGAGGTTGTGGAGAAAAAGGAACCCTCATACACTGTTGGTGGGAATGCAAACTGGTACAGCCACTATGGAAAACAGTATGGAGATTTCTCAAAAAGTTAAAAATAGAAATACCCTATGACCCAGCCATCCCATTACTGGGTATGTATCCTAAGAACCTGAAATCAGAAATCCCAAGAGTCCCTTGCACCCCTATATTCATCGCAGCATTATTTACAATAGCCAAGACGTGGAACCAACCTACATGCCCAGAAACTGATGATTGGATAAAGAAGATGTGGTATATATACACAATGGAATACTACTCAGCCATAAAAAAAGGCAAAATTGGCCCATTCACAACAATGTGGATGGACCTCGAGGGTATTATGTTAAGTGAAATAAGCCAGTCAGAGAAAGACGAACTCTATATGACTCCACTCATAGGTGGAAGTTAGTATATTGATAAGGAGATCTGATCAGTGGTTACCAGGGAAAAGGGGGGCTGGGGGGAGGGCACAAAGGGGGAAGTGGTGTACCCACAACATGACTAACAAAAATGTACAACTGAAATCTCACAAGGTTGTAATCTATCATAACATTAATAAAAAAAAAAGATAAAGTTTATGATATGTAAATCTCCGTAAAGCTGTTATTTAAAAAAAAAAAGATACAGCTGAAAATACTCAAATTAAGAACGGCTCAAGTGCTGGAGTGGAAAGGAGGACTGGGGGCTAGAGAGCCTGCCGAGGTCAGGACAAACTCGACTATTCCAACATTTCAGTCTTGAGGAGGAAGATGGTCTCTATGGGATCCCACAGACAGGTTCACCTTGGAGCAAATCAGGCTTATGTTTCAGGACTCCTTATCATCCTGGGCTCCAGAAACTTGTATTTGTAAATTTTTTTCCTTTTCTTAAAGAGAGCCTCGGGCATTGAAGAAGACTCAGGCCCTGCAAAACCCATGTTTGTACCTGTCAGTCCCACAGCATCATGAAGGATGGATAAAGGACAAACAGGGATCATAGAATTCTGGAATATTCAGCAAATTTCTCTTGATGAGCGATATTGCCTGAAAGGGGCATGCTATTGTGTTTGGTGCTTCCTTGGTGTGGAGAAACTTGGGATTATTTTAGCTATTTGGGGTCCCAGTGAACAAGAGTCCATGTATATCCTTATCTCTTTATAGTCACATACCTGAATGTTTCCTTGGCTGCTGAGTTTGACACACTTCAGAAGGATCACAGGCATAAATGCAATGATAAAGTAATATGTTAGGTTACATAGTCACAGTCATGTCCAGCATCCAGAATTCCTTATAGCACAGATCCTCAAGTCCAGAACCTAAGTTATTAATTAGTGTCACAATAAAGAGCTGCCATGATGACAGGAAGAAGTGTGGATGTGTGTCAGCACAGTGTGAGCAAGACAAGCTATGGATGCAGCCGTTACTGACTGGGACATTCTGAAACCAGTGCCCTTGACATAAGGAAATCTCATTAGGAAGCTCTCCTCAGGAAGCTGTCCTCATAGAACTTACTTAGACAGCAGTGTTTCTAGAGAGACCACTAGGGAAGGAAAGTCAGGGGAAGAGAGAATAAAGGTCCCAGTCACTGGAGATAGAGTTTCTGCCATGAAACTCAACAAGATACAGAATCCTGGCCTGAATTGTAAAAACAAGGGACGAGCCTCAAAGTCACACATTAGTCCATGAACTGCGTGCCCTGGGAATTTTCATGAATAGGTTGTGAAATATTTCAGCACATACCAACTGAATTGTCATGGAGCAGAGTTAATGTCACTTCCCAGGAACTCTATGCCATGCGGGGAAAGAGGCTGGGCTGAAAACAGAGGCATTTCTGGAGAACAGAACTTAAGTTCCTCTTTATACTGTCCCTCCCCTAATTCCTCTCTGCAGACTCATCCAAGAATTCCAAGGCTCCTTGGCTCTGAGGCATCAGAGCTGGAAGTACTGTGAGGAAGCCTCCAGCACACGACACTGGAGAGAAGGGAACACCCCTCCCAGGGCTGCCACAGCCAGGCCCACCTGCACCCTCTGGGTTTGTGCTCAGCTCCCCCTGAGTCCCCCTCACTGTGTCTCTCAGAGCGCAGTAGTACACGGCCGAGTCTGACACTTGCACTGAGGCTTTCTGCAGGTGGAAGGAGCTGTCACTCTTAACAAACTTGGCCTGAAAACCTCTGCTGTCCTCCTCCTGGTTTTCTGATGAGCTTTTCAGGAGGAGCTCAGGCTCTTTGTTTTGATACTGGACATACCAGAAAAGGAAAACTGAATAGATGCTCTGGTAGGTGCAGTTCAGGGTCAGAGGTGCCCCCTCGGGCAGGATAACAGGGCCTTCTCTCTGGGTCACCGAGTCTCCATCAGTCCCTCCTAAAAAAAAAAAAAAATAAATAACAGCTTTCTTATATTGGCAATGTAAAAGGATAGTCTCCAGTTTGTTAGGGATTAACAGTCATCCTAAAATCAAGGAATAGAACACCTTAGAAATTTTGAATAAATGTTACTTACTCAACATCAACAAGATCACAAGTCCTGAGCAGGGGGCGACAGCATGGCTGGGGAGAAACAGCAGCAGATTTTGTTTGGGAATACACCAAAGCTGAGAGGGTTGTTCCTCTATTTTCTTGATCCTTTCGTGGGATCTTCTAGAAAATCTTGGCTCCTGTGTGAAGCAAGAAAAACTGTCCTCCAAAATCATGCCACAGGCTGTAAAAATGAGAGGTGCTCAGAAATGGAAGATGAATGTGTGTCAAACCGCCACCCAAAGGGAGCAGCGCCCTCTTGTGGTTCCCCCTCTGTCCCTGCAGCCTGCTTTACATCTTTGAATTTGATATTTACCCTGGAATGAAGCTGAAGTTGTAGACAGAAGGGAAATAGGTGTCTGGGGTGAGGGGTAGGACTCCAGGAAGGGAGCACCAAACCCTTCCTGCAGACTTCACAGTGGTGCCTGAGGCTGAGACGGTGGGTAATTCCTCTGTCACCCTCTTTAAGATGCAAGGCAATTTGGCTCCCTTGAGTCTCCCTAGTCCCTGCATCTAATGTCTGTTCATAGTGACTATTAAGCTAGTTTTGGGCATCTTAGGGTGTACGGAGAGTGTTAAAAATCATAATATGAGTTCTCTTCCTGACACATTCCCTCACTGGTGCCCTGGAACCAGGGGATGAGCCCCTCTGCTTAGAATCTTCTCCCTTCTCTCCCCTACCTTTGCCTAGGTAACTTCTAGTCATTCTTTAAGAACCAATTTACATACCACCGTCTTATGAAAATGCTCACCCACCTCTTCAGGCTAAGTGTGCCCATCTCTTTTCCCACCATTCCTTGTACACATATCTATTACTGTCATTACTGCATCATATTAGAATCATCTGTGTCCTGTTTTCCAAACTGGACTTGGTGCTCCTGAGATCAGGGACTTAATCTCATTAGTCTCAGTAACCAATTTCTCAAAATACACAGGCCCTTAGATTATAGTAGACGCTCAAAAAATATCTGAAGAGTGAGTGAATAAATGAATGGTTAGACAGGTCTAGGGGGTACAATTATCTTTCTATGAAGTGTAGTCTCTATGAGAGCACATGTCTAGACCCCTGGTGTGACTAGCTTCTTCCAGAGTCAGACCCAGGGCCTGGATAACAGGTGCATTCAGTGTTTCTCAAAACTGAATAAGATACAGATCTTCATATAAGGGGCCACTCTCATATTGACTGTTTTAAATATATTATGGTGCCTTAATATACACAAAATGAAGTTAAGTATAAACTTCTCAGACTCACAGGTCTTACATAATTACCAAGCCAAACAAAAAATGCAAACAAAATATAAAATCAACAAAATTCAAATTAAAATATGAATGTGAGGGATGATCTTTTGTTAAAACTAAAGAGTTGATATAGGCATATTAGAAGAAAGCTATAGCTGTGTGTAGTTCAATAACTCACTAGATTAAAACGATTTGGAGCTTAATGTACTATTGTCTGAATTATTGTGATTAGTTTCTAGTATTTCTAGTTTTCCTTTTCAAAAATATCATTTGTCACCATTATACAATTGTATTATTTAATAAATACCGAAATCCGTGCTGAAAATATATATATTGTGCATTTACTGCTACCCCTACATCTACTGAATTGCATGTTGACACATTCAAACAATGAGTGTGAGTAATACATCTTCTTTCGAGAGAAACGTGGCGGTGACTTGGTAACCTCGGTTCTTTAGGTTTTGACCTGTCGGTAGTACCATGTGCCATATCATAGCCAAAATTTTCTGAAAACTTTCTTCCATTTAAACAACTCTGATACCTTTATTTGTAGCGTACCATTATTCCATTTGTCTTTAATTTGGTAAAAATGGCATAAAGATCACAAAAGCATCAAAACCAAGGGGAGTATTCTGTTGTAAGTTGGTCATACAGATGATTAAAAACATGCCTATATTTTTTTGTCATCAAACAGAAAACTCCAAATCTAAAAATTCTCATGTAATTACTATATCCTGGGAGATGGCAAACCTTTTCTTATAAAGGGCCAAGTAGGGAATACTTTAGGCTTTGAAGTCTTTTGGTCTCTGCTGCAACTACTCAACTCTGTTGTAATAGCATAAAGCAGTCATTGTCAAGGCATAAATAAATGGGCATGGCTGTTTTCCAATAAAACTTTATTTACAAAAACAAGCGGTAAGCAACTTCGACCTGTAGGCTGTAGTTTGCCCACGCCTACTTTACCCCAAGAATTTGCCCATAAACCTCCAAAGATCCATGGAGGGCAGTCTGAGAAACTCAATCACATTTTCTTATTTGGTTTCTCACTACGCTACTATCATAGCTTTTTGAGGAGCCTTAAAATAAAGCAAGTCTATTAAACAAGTTAATGAATAAAAAGGAGGGAGGAGGAGATTTGATGATTTTAGTAGCTAAGATGCTTTGGTGCTGAGGATTCGAGAGTGGTCTCTGTCATTAAGGGGCTCACAGAGTGCTAGTGTAGCTTTTAATGAAACAAGGGAGTAAAGGAAGAAGTGCAAGTTAAAGGCAGAGGGCCGCGCTCCTGAGTGCGCACTGAGCTTCCTTCGGCTACTGACGCTTGGGCAGATGTTCAAAAATAAACAGGCATGTACTAGGTTCTACTCTTTTGAAGGGGGGGAAGAGAATTTTAGGAAAAGGAAAAAGAATAATAAAATTACCTAAAATTGCTATGAAGGGGTCACATAGAAGGAAAAAGTTGCTTTTAAGAAACTTAAATAATACCAGTATTATGGAAGACAGACAGAGAGAGAGAGATTAGGAGCATACTGTGGAATGAGCCTGGAGAGGTAGCATGGTCTTAAGTTACACAAGGTTTTTAGATCTTATTAAGAAGTTTTTCTTTAAGAGTAAATGGGGATTCATGTAATCAACAAGGTCAAAGTTACACTCTGACAAGATCGCTTTCACTACATTGAGGAGTGATGGGATGTGTCAAATATGCTGGGGGCAGGGGAGCAAGGGGTTAAGGCAGAATTTTAATTAGGATTGTGGAGGTGAATTGCACTGTAGGGGTTGTGATGTCTTCTGGAAGACTTTTAGGAGGCAATTCCAACAGGACTGGGAGACAGATGGGATAGGAATTTCAAAAATGAAAAAACTATGAATCAAAAAAAAACCCACACACATGAAGCCTCATATACTCTAAACTGAGGGCGTGGCAGAAACTGCTAGTTGCCTATACAATGTCCATTCTCTCCTACTTCTTACTAATAGAACCCCAATTTTGATGTGGGTGGCAACGTATTGAGATTAAAAATAAATAGCAATAACTTTGATATCTCAGCCTCCCTTGCAGATGGGAGAGGAGCGGGGGCGTCAAATAACACTGATAAATGAAGCGTAAGGAGAAGCTGTCAGATGGAGCTTCTGGAAATGATTGGCTCAGCCAGCATGGATCTATTTGCCTTTTGACTTTCTCTTTCTTTCTGCCTAGAAGGTGAATAAAGCGATGGATCTCTAAAGTTTTCTTGAAAGTATAAAAGGAAAAGTGACACCTTAAGGCTGAGAAGCAGTGAGTCAGAAATACCTTTGATCCTTAACAACAGGATGAAGCTAGCATACTAGCCCTGCATGTGATACAGCTTCTTTATGTAAGAGAAAAATAAACTCCCCCTTGTTAAAAACATTGTTATTTGAGTTTTCTATAACATGAAGTTGAGTCAATCTCCAAATAATAAAGAGGATGTTCATTAAAAACACAAATCCATCATTTCATCAGAAATTGAATAAGCTGGAATAGAGCCTGATAATCGGATCTTCAAAGGTGGTCAAGGTGATTCTGATACAGGTGATGTTGCTGGTTGAAGGTCTGGCATTTGGGAACCACGGCCCTATACAACCTTTCTCCTGCCTCCCCCAACTTTTTCATCAAACATACACATAAATACGAATGCCTTCATTTCCTTCATACACACATTTTCAGTAGTATCAAAACTGTATTAAGAAAACTATATTCAGCATTTATTTGTCTTACTAGGAGCAAGAATAAACTGATGGAAATTTGTTATGTTTTTGATAATAGAATTATCCACTCTCACAAAACAACATTTCAGGACCTGGTAGTGAAGAACATACATCTCTCAATGGAATGGGGAATAATTACGACTTTCTTATAAATTCCCATTTTACTAATGGAGAAACTGATGCTTGAAAATCACGCAACTTTTAAATGACAGAATCAGATTTGTCTCTATCATTCCGAAGATTCAGATCCTTGTCTCTATCATTACACAATGTTTCCAGCCCTCAGCTTTAAAATGAAGAGTTTGGTTGAAAGAGTCCTAACATCTTTCTAATGCTAATGCCTGATGAATCTGCTGTTTCCTACACAGGAATTAGAGGAATGTAAGAGTCATCTCCTGCATCTCAAAGACCCACCAAAGTCTTGAGAGGGGTACACATCTGCTAATACTGAGAAGTCCCTCCTCATCCTCCATAAGCATCCAGAGCCTCCGTTTTTTTCTGATAAAATTAGAGCTTGAGGGGTTTTTTGGGCTCATCAGTCCAAATCCTTCATCACAAGTGAGGAAATCAAAGACAGCTACACTGATGGTGTGCCTAAGGCCACGCAGCCAGGCTTGGCAGAACTGAACCTGGCATTTCAGTTTCCCCTTCTAAATCTCATGCCCTTTGCCCTAGTCCAATGTGTGTCCAACAAAACACAAATTTGAGAGGGCCTGCCTTTCTTGTTGCCAACTCCTGGTAGACTTATTCTTGGGAAGATGTAACCACCAACTCTACCCACAGTTGGGGCTCCTCAGAGGCAGCTCTGGCAGAGTTTGTGTAGTGGCTGCAGGTGCCTGGTGAACACTGTGCATCCTCAGCACAGAAGTAAGTAGCAGCGTCTGCAGCCCGAGAAGCCGTGATGGACAGGGAGCTGCTTTTGCTGGAGGTGTCAAGCGTGACTCGTAGTCTTCCATTAGTTTTGTGTTTCTCATTTGAACCTATTAAAATCAGTCGTGCAAGGCCTCTACCTGCATCTTGTCTATACCACTGTAAATTCTCTATACTAGTTTGATAACTGCAGTTCATGGTGGCATTTTCACCCTCTTGGACACTCAGGGCCTGAAAATTCCATTCTTCTTGTTGGCTGTTCACCCCTAGGCAGAAACACAGGACAGAGATGAGGGGCCAGTCATTGCATTTCCACTCTCTAGTGTTTACATTTCCTTCCATAATGTTCTGCTACATT